TGCATGGCTGAGGGGGCTGGGAGCTCCCCAGTCCTGTGCTGTGGTGGCATCAGTGGGTCTGGCTGGGCCTGCCTGTGAGCTGGAATCCTGGGCTGGGGTTGTGGCTGTGCCTCTCGCCAGTGGGAAGCAGTGTGGTCTGTGGGGGGACTGAAGGACCCCATGGAGGCAAAGGTGAGGGCTGGGGGGGCCACTGGCCTCTCTGTCTGGGCAAAGGCCACCCCCAGGGATAAATCCCACATTTGCCCAGCTGCACGGAAATGCCTTGGGTGGTATATTTAGGGCAGTCTCCCTTTAGCCTCTTGTCACTTTCAAAAGCCAAAAATCTGTGTTTCCAGAAAGCAGGGGTAGGAGCCACCCAAGTGCCTTCCCCACAGGCCGGCACTGAGATTTTAATTATATGTGTGTATGAGTCTTTTTAAAAACCCTCTCTGGCTACTGGACTCAGTGACCACAAGTCAAGTTTAGAAAAGCAGGTTGTGCAGCTGGGCGGATGTGGGGAGCACTTCCTGTCCTCGTGGTGGGGACCTGGTCCAGGGATGGACAGGCACACAGCTGTGCTGGGCAGGGCAGGGATGGGCACGTTTGCACTGGAGCCGGGGGGAGGCTCCGGCCCCAGATCAGGGAGGAGAAGGAATGGCACGTGCAGGGTCCGCAGTCAGGATATTTTGAAGGCTCCCTTTTCAGTCAGCAGGATTTAGAAATATCTTTTTTCTAAACAGATATATTCATTCACTCATTTGTTTATGCACAGCACTACCTCGGGCACTGGGAAAACTGCAGTGAACAAAAATAAGGACTTTGCACTAAAGAAATTGAAGGTTTAATGATGGAAATGGACTATGATTTTAAAAAGAAACAGGTAAAATAGCAATGTCGCTTCTTTTATAGGCGATGGGAAGTAGATAAGGTCATGGGCTCAAGAGTAATGGCACCCGTGCTTTTCACAGGGCCACTGAGAAAAGCACAGTTAAGCTAGGTCTGGTTCCATAAGTACCTCTAAAAGTTTGTTCCCCACAAAATTATAAAAGTGGCCCAGAATGTTCAGTGAACCCGCTTCTGTCTGGGGAAGCAGCAAATAGATTTACTTTTTCAATTGCCTTAATGTGGCTCTCAGGAAAATAAACAATTATGAATCACCAACATGTGCCGACAGAGCCCTGGGCCTCATCCTCCGCCCTCTGACGAAACCACCTCCGGCTCCCACGCTTCCGGGAGAGGTCCACTGTGGGCAGGAGGTGGCATCCCTGGCCACGCTGCCCGGCCACATCCCAGGCCCTGCATTCACCACTCATAGGCTGC